CTTGCAGCCCCCTGTGTCCCAGCTGTCTGCAGTAACCCTCCATGTGCAGGCTGTGACTCCAGAGATGTCCTGTGTCAGCATTGCAGCTCTGCAGCATTGGAGGAGCCATGGAGGATCAACCCATGGGTGGGATTTCCTCCTGTCAACAGCTCCAGGTCTTCTGCAGTCACTCTTTTTTATCCCTGGAGGATTTAGAGCCTGTCTGGGTGAGTGTCTGTCAGTGAAGGTAATTCCCTGCCCACTCTCTGGATGGAACCATGCCATGGGTACAACGAGAGGGATTGCACACCCTGAGAGGTCTGGGAGTGTTGAGATGGATCTGCACAATGGACAAAGAGTGGAGAGCCCTGTCCCAGCAGTGTGCACTGGTACCTGGGCAGGGCAGTGACACCCTTGCTGTCCCCCATGTGCTCCTGGGTGACACAGGAGGGATGGCAGAGGGCAGGATGGGCTGGAGCAGGTGGGGCTGGGTGTGTGCAGTGCACAGGGCTGCAGGTCCTGCCTTGGGGGGAGTCAGCCCTGCCAGCCTGAGCTCTAAACTGTCGCAGACATCTTTTTATGAAAAATATTTTTTTTAGGATTTTTCTTCCTGAGAAGCTGAGAGGCTTTAGGAACAAAATGTAAACAATAATTATCTGCTGCTGTGGAATGCAACAGGTGCATCTGGGATTGGTCTCATGTGGTTGTTTCTAATTAATGGCCAATCACAGTCAGCTGGCTTGGACAGAGATTTGGAGACAGCTGCTTTTATTATCATTCTTTTTTTTTTTTTTTCTATTCTTAGCTTAGCTAGCTTTTTGATGAAACTTTTTTCCCCTATTTTTTTAGTATAGTTTTAATGTAATATATATCATAAAATAATAAATTAAGCTTTCTGGAACATGGAGTCATATCTTTGTTTCTTCTCTCAATCTAAGACCCCTGTGAACACCGTCTCACTAAACCTGCTGTTGGTGTGTGGGTGTTGTGACCCCTCAGAAGGGTTGTTCTGCTGAGGAGCCCCTGTTGGAACCCAAAATATCCCTCTGGGTATCCAGAGTTGCTGGGCCCCTGCCGGGGGGCTCAGAGACCTTGAAAAACAGCCCAGAACACCTGTGGGTTTGATTATGACCCGTGGAGCAAATTACCAGCTTTGTATGAGGACCTGAAAGTCACAGAAGTTTAAATAATGTAGTAATAAAATTATCACAGGATGAAAAGGTAGATTTTGGGATTTTTAGAATGGGGGTTTTGGGGACAAGATGGAGGGATCCGGGTGTGTCCAGTCCTTCTTCTTCTTGGCCTCCATCTTCTGCTGTGATGTTGGCACATTTGGATTGGTTTAGATTAGAAGTTCACTGTCTAATATAGGTGATAGGTATTGGAAAGTAATTGTAAATATGTTGTACATAGTTTGTAGTATAAAAAGACAACACTGCCCTGAGGGTGGTCAGAGTGCCTGTGGCTGCCCTGGTGAGCGGACCTCGGCTGGGCAGGGAGAAAAATTTTATAGATAAGAATTAATAAGCAACTTTAAGAATGAAAACTGAAGAACTCCAGCTTGTTCTTCGGACACATGGGCTGAAACAGAGACTTTTCACAAATCTTGGGGCTGCAATTAACAACTAAACTCCTGAGAAGTCCTCAGCACCCCAGAGCTGGAACCATCCCGAGGTGGCTCCACGATTTTCCTGGAGCTGTACATCCCAGGAAGCCAGGAGGAGCATGGATATGCCTAGAGCAGCTCTGTTCTTGGATGGAGACATCTCCAGTGCTGTGTGGACACCCTGCAGTGCTGTGCTGGTGCAGAAGGAAGCTGAATTGTCTGATCCCAGACCCTGCAGTCAATACATGCAACAGAAGCAAGGGTCACACTGCCTGCTCACATGAGCTGGTGCCTCTTTGCTGACTCCAGCACAGTGTGGGATGGCTCCTGCTGGTTTGGCCCATCCCTTTCCATCACCACCTTTGTTTGGCTTTGGTTCTTTTGTTTGTTTGGTTTGGGTTTTTACTGGACTGTGTAGAGAGAGCGAGTTCCTGAGCTGCATCCCCCATTGTTTGTCCTCTCTGCATGGGTTCTGTTGATAATGGGAACTGCTCACTTGTCCTTTTGGGTTTTATATCAGCATGGATGGCTTACAGTGAGGAAGAAATCAATCTCACATGGGCTGTGTTCACTGGTACATCTATGATGGGTTTTCTCCTTGACCCAGGTCTATGAGCTCTCAGAGAACCCATCACACCTGAGATAGCCCAGCCACCCCAAATGGCACCCATTTTGGGTGCTGCTGCCTTTCTGCTGGGCCATATGGCCCCAGACCCTGGATCTGGAGGGAATTAGTCATTGATTATAAAATGGGAAAAAAACTTGCTCAGAGTGAGCCAAGGTGGGGCTGAGCTGGGCTTTGTCCTGCTGAGGCGCATCTGCAGCGCTGAACAAGCCATGCTTGGCCTGACTGATTGTTAACTGTTGGGTTCTTCCATTCTGGGTTCCTCCTGGTGGGAACAAGGAGGAGAATCCCCAATTTCAGCTAAATAAAGCAGATTGCGCTGTGGTTCTTAGTCCAGTGTGCTCCAGTGCCTTTCCAGCGTGGTTTTGGGACGTTTGCACGGGGCTGAGGGCGGCTCACAGACGCTCTGTCTGCACTGGAAATGTTTCATTTTCATTTACAGCTCCAACCTGGGGCTCAAACTGCTGCTCCCAGGCTATAAATAGAGGTAACCCCAGAACAGGCTCAGCCGCTGATGCTCTCTGCTCCTGCCCCCTCCCTGGCTTCTTGGCAGTGTGCTCACAGCAGCATATTTTTAGCTGTTGCTTTCTCCTTATTTATTCTATTTTTTTGCCAAGCTGCCAGTTTTCCCTGCTGTTTATCTGCTTTCCAGGACTGTGTCTGGATCCTCCCTCTGGAGGGGCAGTGGGGCATCACAGATAGCAAGCTTGGCTCAGACTCTGCAGCTCTTCCTCCTCTATCTATATTTTCTACTAAGGTATTGGGCTGCCTGGATGAATTTTGTGTTTACTCCTCGTTTTCCCTTTGTCTGAGAGAGGATAAACAGCATTATTATGTATTATTAATGTTGTTAACAGGCAGTGAAGCAACAGCTGTCAGAAAAACCTCCTCCTAATGCTGCCTCCAACACAAAACAAATCAACTCAGCTCGTTGAGAGAAGGGTGAGAATGGTAATTCCAGCTCCCCAGAGCAAACCTGGGAGTCAGGGCACACAAACAAACCCTCAGAAAGGATAAAAGCCACAGGCTCAGCCAGGGCATAGATGCTCCAAGTCCTGTGTGTGTTTTTCCACTGCTGAAGTGGTTGCTGAAGGGAATAAAGCTGATTTCCTCGATGTGATCCTGTCCAAGCTTGTGAGCTCCTCGTTCAGCTTCCGTCCTCCCCGCCGCAGACTGAATGAGCCTTTGAACATGAAAGGCTGCTCTAACCAGCTCAGCATGGCTGCACATCTGCATTCCTCAGCCTGCCACCCATCAGGGCTGCTTTGCTCTGCTTTTTGAGCTGTTCTAAAAGCTGGATTTCAGCACTGCACCTTGCCTGCACACAGGGAACTCAGAGGTGATGTGTCTGCACAGAGCAGAGCTGGGATGGGACTGCTCTTACAGCCTGGCTCAAGAAGAGCTGTTTAAAAATCTGTTCAGCAAATGAAATAGGGCTTTTCATTCTTTCTAGAGTCCAAAAAACCAGTAGGCATTTAGAAAGGAAAATATAATTTTAAAAAAAAATATTCAGAGGCTGGGACTTAGTGCCCACAGGGAACTCAGAGGTGTTGTCTCTTTGCACAGAGCAGAGCTGGGATGGGACTGCTCTTGCACCCTGGCTCAAGGAAAGTTGTTTAAAAATCTGTTCAGCTGTTTAAAAATGTTCCTCTGTTCAGCAGAGGAAATAAGGCTTTTCATTCTTGCTAGAGTCCAAAAAAGCAGTAAGCATTTAGAGAGGAGAAAAGAATTAATAAAAAAAGATTCAGGGACTGGGTTTAATAGCAAAAATATGTTTAAAATTTAAAATGCACAAGTTCCCAGAAGCTTCAGCCCTTGTCCTACTGTCAGTGATGGAAAGTGGGGCTGGCTGAAGTGTGTAGCACCAATCTGCCCAATTGCATGCAGGTGAAGCTCCTGAGCAGACAGGCTGGGTGTTCCTGTGTGGGGGTGCACAGTCCTGGCTCTGTTTTTGGCTCTTTTTGGGCAGAAAAGGGCCCTTTCTGAGCAGGGGGATGGCTCTGGGTGGGGCTGCCCATGGGTTCTCCTGTGTCACCCTCTCCCAGGAGCAGCCCTGTGGTTCAACCACATCACGTTGTAGGCACAGAGGCTTTTTATGCTGGAAAAGGAAAGGGACAGAGCAAACACACATGTGCATATATATATATGTATGTATAAATTTATATACACAAGCACAGGCTTCTGAGCATGAAATGCTTTTTCCATCTCCAGCTGCCAGGCAGTTCAGCTCTTTTCCCTTCCGTCCCTCTATCCCAGGCCTTACTGTATTAAAGTTTTCCTGCCTTTTTTTCTATATATATCTATTTAATTTTTAATATATTTTTTCCCCTGTATGATGCACTCTTCTAGCTGACAAGATTTGTAAGGTTGTGACCCCATTACAAAGCACAGTTTAGAGCTGTTCTGCATGATCTTTTTATTTTCTTCCCTATTAAAGAATTGTTATTTCCTGCTCCCATATTTTTGTCTGAGAGTGCTTTAATTTAAAATTTATAGCAATTTGGAGGGAGGGGGGTTCCATTTTCCATTTCAGGGGAGGCTCCTCCCTTCCTCAGCAGACACCTATCTTTCCAAACCAAGACAATAACAATGTTTGTCATCTTCAGGGAAAGGTGGAGTTCTCTCCTGAGGTGTTTTTTGGTTAAAATAACGTGTAACTCTTCCTGGATCTGAGAGATGATTGTACAAAGCAGATTCCTGTGCCTTGCCAGACGTAGAGGGATAGCAGGGGGGTAACTCCACACCCCACACTCACATGGATTCCTCACTCCAACCTCCTTTTTGCTTTAGGAATCACCCGGACCTCCAGCGGGAGACTTCGGAGGCTCAGTGACCAGACAAGCCCGAGTAAGTGTGTGAATTTGAAACCTGCTCATCCAATTAAAAAAATATTAAAAAAAGGGAAAATAGGGAATAAGGAAAATAGGGAATGCAGGAGGTGACACTCAGAAATGTTATTTTCTGCCATGGTTTGAAAGGCAAAGTTTGCTCCTGATAAATGAAGAGTTCTCTATGCTGGAGAAAGAAAGCAGTACATGTAAAAAAAAAGTTTTATATATATATATATATATTAAAGCCCCAACAAACTATGAAAATAGAGAGAACATAAAATATTCCATACTATACAATGGGTCCAGAGACAATAATTACCAAGCTCCAACCCAACTCAACACAGTTGCAACAGGAAGCAGGAATGGCCTGTGGTTGAAATCTACTTTAGTCATTAGTAGCTCTTTTGGACTCTCCTTAGCTGTTATTTTTTGTTGGATGTGCAGATTTATGGATTATAAGTGCTTGTGGCTAAATTTGCAGCCCTAATTGCAGCTTAATGTTTTGGAAGCTGCTCCTGATTCAGAAGGAAGCAGGTGGGAGGGTTTGTTTTTCTTGCAGAAGGTGTTTCCCAGCCTCAGGAAAGCAGCAGCAGCCGGATTCCCAGTGCTTGGGAGTACCTGAGGCTGTGTGCTCTGTTTGTTTGTGTGTGCCACGTGCTGGGGCTGTCCCTGGGGGCTGTCTGCAAATGGAAAAGGCACTGTTCTCATCTAAAGTATTCCAAGGGAAGATGAAGCAGCCCTGCCTGTAAATTTCAACAAGATGGGCACAGATAATTCTTGTCATATTTAATTTTTCCCTTTAATAGTTATTGCTGTTCCTATTTTATAGCTGGGGAAAATGGAGCAGCAGCTGAAAGCTGTGCCCTGAGCAGTGCCTGAAACAATCCTGGAATAGTTTGGGTTGGAAGGGACTATTGAATTTGCAGGGAGGAATGATTAATCTGACTCCATGTTCTCAGAAGGCTAATTTATTATTTTATTATACTATAATATATTAAAGAATACTATACTAAACTATACTGAAGAATACAGAAAAGATACTTGCTGAATGCTAAAAAGATAATAATGAAAACTGGTGACTCTGTCCACAGTCCCAACACAGCTTGGCCCCAATTGGCCAAAGGGTGAAAACAACTCACAGCAGAATCCAGTGAAACAATCACCTGTGGGTAAACAATCTCCAAACACATTCCACATGAGCACAACACAGGAGAAGCAAATGGGATAAGAATTGTTTTCCTTTTTCTCTGAGGCTTCTCAGCTTCCCAGCAGAAAAATCCTGGGTGAAGAGATTTTTTTCATAGAATGTGAATGTGACAAGGGACCTTAAAGCCCACCTAATTCCAGCCTCATTTTCTCTTCTCCCTGCCCCCCCAAACCCCACTCACCTCCTCAGCACCTTCAGCTTCCATCCTCTCCTGTCCCCTTGGTCTCTCTGCCACCCAGTTCCTCCCTCCAGGCTGGATTTGCTGTTTCAATCCATCTTCTCAGCCCTCACATCCTGCCTCAGCTCCCAGATGGACTTACCAAAACAGAGCTTTCCAGCTCTTCCCGCGGCGTGGGTGGCAGCACAAAGCCACCCTGGGGGTGCCTTCCTGCAGCACTGACTTCAGAGCTTTGCTGGAAGCGGCCACCAGCACGTGTGGGATGGGGATTAGTCATGGATGGCTGCTTGAACATGCACTTGGACACCCTGGGAGCTGGGACATTCCTGCCTGGCCCTCCTGAGCTCAGGGACAGATATTTGTGGCACAGGAGAAAGTGGCAGGGGCTGGGACACTGCTGGCATCTGGAGCTGCACAGCCTTGAAGCATCACCATCATCAGTGGGAGGATGGAATTATTTATGGTCAGAGCTGATGACCATGTACACATGTACCCAAACTGGTGTCAAGTGGCAGCAAAAATTCATTGAGTGATGATTATTGGGGAGTTTTGATGTGTTGTGTGACACAAGCTGTTTTATTCATGACAGCAAGGCCAGGAGGGCTGAGCTGAATTTTAGAACTGAACTTTAGAACTGAATTTTCGATCTGATGCTTCCAAACTCGGCCAGCAGCACAGAGATGGCAGTTTGGAGTGCAGAGTGTGTTTATCTTGTGCACATGCACAAACAAAGCTGCTGCCTCAGCCCTGGCACCGCCTGCTCTCATGTGCAGACAGGACAGAAGGGGGAATTGGTGCAGCTCCAAAGGGAACTGGGGTGTAGGGAATCCACATTGACAGACACAGCACATTTGTTCAATCTTGTTTTCCTTAGACTCTAATTATATACTTTTCCACTTTTCTGGTGAGAGACCTTGTAAATTTGATTTTTTTTTTCAAGTTAAAAAATCAAATGAGCAGTTCAGTCCTTCAGTTTACATTGCAGTAAATATTTATGACTCCAAATAACTGCAGCTCAATTTCCCCTTGTTTCAGGCCCAAATTTTCCCCTCTGCACATCTGGCCTTGCACCCACAAGCTTTTATTCCTGTAAAAGATAAATTGGAGTTGGGATGACTGAGTGATGGTTGCAAGTGAAGCATTGCAGAAGGGGCTCGGTTGCTTTGGGCTCTTTGCCACCCTAAACAAAGAAAGGGGTGACATTTCCACAGCCACCAGCTCCTGGGATCCAGGGAGCTCCACATCTAATCTTGTTTTATTTGGTTTTTTCCCCCTTTAATAGCTATTGATGTTCCTATTTTGTAGCTGGGGAAAATGGAGCAGCAGAGAAGCTGAAAGCTGTGCCCTGAGCATTGCCTGTGAGTCCAGGGATCCTTCCCCATGGGCTCTGAAACTGAGAGATGTGAGGCCAGGTGGGTGGAAGAACTGAACACGCATAGCTGTGGGCATAGTTTAAATTGGCATCTTTGCTTTAACAGGGACAGCAGGATTTCAGGAGGGCTCACTAATTTGGATTGCTCAAAATTCAGATATGACAACAGATATGTTGTATATGACAACAGATCTTGCTGTTTCCATCCTTGACTTCGCACCTTGCCCTGAGGAGCACCTCCTCTCTGTGCCTGGAGTCTGATAGAGGACGAGTCTAAAACTGGTTTTTGTGAGGCTGGGGGTTAACCAGAGCAGAGAGATCAACAAAAGCAATGTCAGGAGCCAGGGGCTCCCCACTGGAGCGTGCATGATGGCTGTTACATAAGCAAATCAGAGTGCTATAAAAACCATGAGGTGTGTGGGGGGTTTGTCCTCAGGGGAGTGCTGCTGTCACCACTGTCACACATCTGCAGCTCTGCCACTCACAGCACAGCCCTGCACGTGTCACTGGAGCTTGGGAACCTTGGTGCAGCCCTTCAGCTTGTCCTGCATCTGTCTGGAGCTTCCTGCTGGCATCTGGGCTCCAGGAGGGAGTGCAGCACTCCAGATCCATCAGTAAACTGGGGGGATGCACAGTGGGCACTGAATGATGACAGCAGCTCTTTGGTGTGTGAAATGTCCTCAAGCTGCACCAGGAGTGGTTTAGATTAGATATCAGGAAAGATTTCCTCCCTGGGAGAGTGGTCTGGCACTGGAACAGGCTGCCCAAGGAAGTGTGGGATTTTGGGAAGTGCAGGGCATAATTTGGAGAGGCAGAAAATCAAGGGCAGCTCTGTGGGCTGTGTTAGAAAGGGGCACTCACTGGCACCTTTGCTTGTTATGTAGTGTCTAAATGCTTCTCCTGGGAAGAAAGAGGAGGGACTCCCACCCAGATGTTTGCCGCAGCTCAAGCTCCTTGTTCATGTGGGTGGTGGGCACTGCCACTCACAGCACAGCCCTGCATGTGTCAAACTGAGCTTGGCAACCTCCTGAGAACCCTGGCACAGCCCTTCAGCTTGTCCTGCATCTGTCTGGAGCTTCCTGCTGGCATCTGGGCTCCAGATGAGAGTACAGCACTCCTGGTCCAGGACTTGCAGGGGATGCACAGTGGGTACTGTGGTGTGAGCAGAACCTTGGTGTGTGGTGAAACATCCTCAAGCTGCACCAGGGGTGGTTTAGATTAGATTTGTATATATTTAGATTAGATATCAGGAAAGATTTCCTCCCTGGGAGGGTGGTCTGGCACTGGAACAGGCTGCCCAAGGAAGTTTAGAATTTTTGGAAGTGCAAGGCATAATTTGGAGAGGCAGGAAGTCCAGGCCAGCTCTCTGGGCTGTGTTAGAAAGGGGCATTCACTGGGACTTTTGCTTGTTTTGTAGTGTCTAAATACTTCTCCTGGTAGAAAGGGGAAGGACTCCCACCCAGATGTTTGCACCCCTTGTTCACTACCATGTGGATGGTGGGCACTGCCACTCACAGCTCATCCAAACACCTCAAGCATCCTCAAGCTGCCCCAGGGATGGTTTAGATTGGATACCAAGGAAAATTTCCTCCCTGGGAGGGTGGCCTGGCACTGGAACAGGCTGCCCAAGGGCGTGTGGGATTGCCATCCCTGGAAATGCTCAGAAGTGGTGTGGCTGTGGCACTCAGGACATGGTTTGGTGGTGAGCACAGCATTGCTGGGTTAATGCTTGGGCTCAGTGAACCCTTGGAGCTCCTCTCCAGCCCCAATTCTGTGTCTGCAGCACAGAGGTGCCTTTTGCTGTGCTGCAGCAGCTGAGGGGTTAACTGCAGCCTGTGGTTGCAGCCTCATGGCTCTGGATGTGTCCTTAGATGAGGTCATAGGGATTTCTTCGGGCAGCCTCTCTCTATTCCCCTTTGTGTGAGGCACCAAACCCTCAGCCAGCTGTGCAGCTCTCCTGGCACAGCGTCCCTGGGGACAAACCCTGCCCTGACAGTGTCCCCCCATCACACATGGCCCTTCTCCTCACAGGGCAGAGCAGCAGAGCCTGCAGCTTGATCACCAGCTGGGGAGGTTTTCTCTTTTTTGTTGATAAATGTCTGAGATGGTATTTTCTGTTTGGACTCAGATGTTTATTAATTTTTATCTATATCACAGTCTTACAAACTGTGAGTTCTACAGTATTTAATAAGCTAAAAATTGAGTCCTGTCTCTCTTTCTACAAGGTTGTTTTTAATGATAAACTATCTAATTAAGAAA